TTTGTGTTTTTTTTTTTCTTATATATATATATATATATATATATATATATATATATATATATGATTTCATTTAGTTTCTGTTTTAGTTCAGTTTTCGTTTATTTATTTCCAGTTAGTAATTTTAATGATTTTACCAATTTTAGTGCTTCAACTTAAACGAAGCGAAAGTTAGAAATGTTGCCTTGCAAACATTTTAGTTTAGCTTTTATATTTCAATTAACAGTAATGTTTTTAATAGTTTTATTTAACACCCCTAGTTGCATATTGCATTATATCAGCTATTGGCTACAAAACTGATTCTCTTTTATCCTCTCATTATCCTTTTCTATCTCCTCTCATTTCCCTCCAGCGATCATCATTGGTCCGTATGGACAGCCTCTGACCGTCTACCCCTGCATGCTGTGCGGCAAGAAATTCAAATCCCGCGGCTTCCTCAAGCGCCACACTCGCAACCACCACCAGGACGTGTTGAGTCGCAAAAAGTACCAGTGCACGGACTGCGACTTCACCACCAACAAAAAAGCCAGTCTGCACAACCACATGGAGGTGCATGCACTCAGCAACAAAGCTCCGTTCGAATGCGAGACCTGCGGTAAGGAGTTCCACCAGCAGGCGGCGCTGTTCTCGCACCGTCTCCAGCACCACCACCAGGAGCAGAAATCGCCCACGGCCATCGCGTCGCCGCTTCCTCCCACCGCCGCGAACAAGACTCACAAATGCAAGTTTTGCGATTATGAGACTGCCGAGCAAGGGCTGCTCAATCGCCACCTGCTGGCGGTGCACAGTAAGAGCTTCCCGCACATTTGCGTGGAATGCGGCAAGGGTTTCCGCCATCCGTCGGAGCTAAAGAAACACATGCGCACGCACACCGGCGAGAAGCCGTACTCGTGCATGTACTGCGATTACAAATCGGCCGACTCGTCCAATCTGAAGACGCACATGAAGACGAAGCACAGCCGCGAACTGCCGTTTTGCTGCGAGCGCTGCGGCCAGACCTTCGGCGAGGAAGACGAGCTGACACAGCACGCAGCCACACACGAGGACGCTCGGGGACACCAGTGCAGCCACTGCGACCATCGCAGCTCGAACTCCAGCGACCTTAAGCGGCACGTCATTTCCGTGCACACTAAAGACTACCCGCATAAATGCGCTGTCTGCGAGAAAGGCTTCCACCGGCCGTCCGAGCTTAAGAAACACTCGGCATCGCATAAGGCCAAGAAACTGCACCAGTGCCGCCACTGCAACTTCAAGATCGCAGACCCGTTCGTTCTCAGCCGCCATATCTTGTCCGTTCACACTAAGGAACAGCAGCAGCAGCCGGCGCAGTCACCGACTCCGCCCACGCAGGCATCACCGCCGCAAGCCCCGCCCACAGAAAAGCCCGCCCCCAAGAGGACTATAGGTGCGGCGCAGTTAGCAGCGCCCGCTGTAAAGAAATCCAGTGGCGCGAAGGGTCCGCGAGAACGGAGGGTGTATCAGTGTCAGTATTGCGACTACAGCACGGGAGATGCGTCTGGCTTCAAAAGACACGTTATTTCCATCCATACTAAGGACTATCCGCATCGCTGTCAGTACTGTTCGAAGGGCTTCCGGAGACCTTCGGAGAAAAACCAGCACATTATGAGGCACCATAAAGACATGGTGCCGGCAGAATGAGCTCCTCCTCTTTCTCCGCTCACTTCCGTAAACACACTAAACAGCCAGTGACTGGAAATCACCATCCCTCATGTTTTAACAACCTCTGTATTGGGCTTCTTACCAAGACCCCTCATGCATAGCAGTGTGTGTGTTGTGTTTGTGTGCGAGAGAATAGGGTTTAGTGACATAGGCTGGAAGTGCTTTCACGTTGTTTATGATCACATGGTCTCCAGTCTTAAAGGAACCGTTCAGCCAAAAACAAAAATTCTGTCGTCATTTATTCACCCTCGTGTCCTTTTCAAACCTGTAGGCATTTCTTTGTTTGCATCCAAATCGATTTGGTTCCCATTGACTTCTATTCTACTAGAACACAAATGAAGATATTTTGAATAGTGTTGGTAACCGAACAGTTTCAGTTCCCATTGACTTCCAATGGAAATAACTAAACTGTTATTCCCATTGACGTCCATTGTAACACAAAAATAGATATTTTGAAGAATTTGGGAAGTTAATACGGGCATTCTTCAAAATATCTTCTTTTGTGTTCCACAATAGAAAGAAAGTCATACACATTTGGAACATCGTAAATGATGACAGAAAATAGTTTTTTGGGTGAAATATCCCTTTAAAGGAACAGTTCACTCTAAAATTTAAAATGTGAAAATAATTTACTCGCCCTCATGTTGTTTAAAATTAGCTTGACTGATTTTTTTTGCAAAGGAACATAAAAGAAAAAAAAATATTTCATACATTTTCTTTGTTATAATATTATCATTATAATGTTTTATAAATATTAAAATAATACTTGTGGATTATGTTCCAGAGCTTCTGAAGTCGTATGATATATTTGTGTGAGGACAGACCCAAATTTATGTTGTTGTTCATTGAAAATCTTCCCCTCCGCTTTAGAAATGAATAATAATAAAAGCATATGACTATAGAGGGTGAGTAAATAATGACATTTTTCATTTTGGCCGGACTATTCCTTTACCTGTAGATGTTTTATGATTTTTCAATGCGTTTCAGTTTGGTTTTGTCATCTACTAACATGTGCATCCAGCCTCTGGGATCAGGTGCATATTCTTAAAGCGTTTCAGAGTCATCGAGTAGCTAACGTAACCTCTCTGAAATGCTTTATGAATATAGGACAATGTGATTGATATCAGTCTTGCACTTTATTAGCATGTCCGTCTGATAGATAGCTGTTTGAAAACATGGACACCAGGAAATGCTTTTAATTTTCAGAAACATCAGAAAGGTATCAGGCTGTTTTGCATGGGCAGTGAGGACATTGCCTTATTTGTGTGTGTGATCAGGACGAGGTTATAGGGAATATCTGGTCTCCCAAACCTTTAATGATCGCAAAAAAAATTGCATATGATCTGATCTGATGATGAGGGAAAAACAGATGCATCTGTAATGACCAATATGTTTGAAAGGAATAGTTCACCTTGTATGAAAAAAAGCCATTCATGTCATTTTTAAAAAAAGATTTATTCAGAACTAAATTTCGTTTTGATTTTTTTTAACAAGGTTATAGGGAATATCTGGTCTCCCAAACCTTTAATGATCGCAAAAAAAATTGCATATGATCTGATCTGATGATGAGGGAAAAACAGATGCATCTGTAATGACCAATATGTTTGAAAGGAATAGTTCACCTTATATGAAAAAAAGCCATTCATGTCATTTTTTAAAAAAGATTTATTCAGAACTAAATTTCGTTTTGATTTTTTTTAACTTCCTGGATTGAGTCCATGCAGCTCATTTATAAAGCATCAGATCTCCAGATGAGACCAGATAACCCCTTTAGTCTGTGTAATTATAAGAAAGCTTGAATTCTGCGCTAATAGGACCGATTTTAATCATGCAAAGGTAAATGTTTTCTCATGTTGACTTAAATGTATTTCACTTGGATGTATGGGACCACAGAGATGTGAAGTAAATGGGTAAAGCTCATGTAAAGAGCGTGTCTGGGTCAAATCTTAACCCCAAAATCAAGAGAAAAACAACAACATAATAGCATTTTTTTCTACTTGTATGCTAAATTAAATACAAATCATTGTATTGCAGTAAATATCGGAAATTGAATTGGAATTATTGGAATTAAAAATAGCACCTACACTAAAAAAATTTGGTGTAAAAACAATTTCCACTCTCTTCACCGAACCGGTGAAGTAGAAAGATTATCAATACTCTGGTAATTGATGTTTTATTTACATCTTTCAAAAAAATACAAATTTCCACTGTATTGATACTTCAACATTTCACATTTACTTCAATGTGTTATTTTCATCATTTTTTGCAAATATGTGCAATTTACTTGCGAAATCTGAGTGGAAATAATTTCTACACCAACTTTTTGTAGTATAAAAATCAACGAAACAATATTTATTGCTACACGCTGATTTGTATTTAAAATTTTACTACTGATGTATAAAATAAATGTAAAAATACACAAGTCAACGTCACAATGCAAGACTCAAAATATAATTAATTATTTGAATTTCTTTCGTTTTTGGAGTGAAATTTGACCTGAGCATGTATCTTTTTTTTGAGACTCAGCCATATGAATTCTAAACATAGACTATATTAGATTCAGTATGCCAATTATGTGTACCAAAATCATGTTTGATAACTTTATGGATAAGTTATCATGCCAATTTATCCACAACATGCAGTATGAGTTTCGTTTGAAAAGGACAGCTACGAGGAGATTACAAATGATCTATATGTGTGTGTATGTATGATTATGGTTGATGATTTTTCTGGTTTATACTCAAAGCAATGCATCAGATATGTTTGCCGTTGCCAATAACCAATAGTCTCGTCTTGGCGACTTCATAGTGATGGTACTGTTCACATGCGGTCAATGCAAATATACACTAATACCCACTAATTGTCTTAACAGTCGCTGTCAGACCTCACTGAAAGCGTGTACTAGGCTGGCATCCTTTACTCGTTACCAAAACGTGACAAAAAGCTGGAATCGACAAGGCGAGTCGTTTTGGAAATGCGCTGTTTTGTGTTTGTGCGTAATGTAAATCGAATCAAATTACGCTTATTCGGGTCACTATTCCACTAACCTGTGATGGATGATGTCATATCCAGCTTTGCATGTGATTGGCCAGAGGTTTCCAGAGGAACTCGACCTCCAAGCACTGAAACAGCCTCTCTTTGTGTCCGAACATTAGCAGTGATCAGCAAAAACGATGCCATCGGTCGGGAAGGGAAGCACCTCTCTCTCTCTCTCTCTCCGTGATCATTTTTATACTGCAGATATTTATTTGGTCACCGTTTAAACTTTGTTGTATAGTTAAATGTAAGTAGGAATCTATGGGACTATAACTTATTGTTTTGTACACAGATCTGTAAAGAGAGCGTGTCGATGTAAACACTTCGGAAAGAGGACTTCAGAACTTTGTGTTGTCATGGATGTATCTTCACATTTGTTTAAAAAATGATAAAAAAGGAAATAAAAGGCAAAGTATTTTCCTGCATCCTCTGTTCTTCATTATGGAAATGCAGTTGTCTGTAAGTGCACAATGTTTTAGAGGTCTTTTTATATGGGATATAATGAGCATTCCCCTTTACATTTATTCATGCGGTAGATGCTTTTGGCTAAAGCGATTTACCTTGAATTCAAGGTATACAATTTTACAAGCAAGTTCATCAGGTTTATTATTTATTCAGGAAATTATTTCTCAGTATCTTTTAAAGTTGTGTATGTACAGTGTAATTTGTGTGTTATTTTGGTATCATTGAGATGTTACAGATACTAGTTTTTATTAATATTTCGAATTTTCTGTTTAAATTTTTCTTAATTTTGTCATGTTTTTGTCATTATTAGTTGTGTAAGTCTATATAAATGTCTATACAGATATATATTTTTGTGATTTTAGTACATTATGGTAAACAAAACCGAGAAATGTTGGCAACTAGCTGGAATACGTTTTTTTTGTTTTTTAAATATGTATTTTACTTTTTATTTCAGTTAAAGTTTTTAAGATTTATTTTAATGTTGTTTTAGTTATAATTTTAGTTTTAGTATTTTTGTTGTGTTTTTGTTATTTTTATTAGTTTTTCATATTTGTAATTTTTTTTTATTGCATATTCATTTTTATTGTGGTTTTAAAATATTATATAACATTCTTAATTTTTATAATCACTTTTATTCATTTGTATATTATGAAATTATATCAAAAAAATTAAAAAAAATTTTTTTTATAAACTTGTTTACTTAACTATAGTTTTGATACTTACTTTTATAGTATTTTATCTATTATACATTTATTTATTTTGGTTAAGTAAAGCCTTGGCAACTAGCTGAAATATTTATATTTCATACTTTATTTCAGTTAACATTTCTTTAAAAAAAAAAGTTTAGTTTTAGTTAACTATTATATCCCTGCTGCGTACATGCTTGAAACCAATTTTTATGAAGACTTTTTATAGCAAAACTTTCACTTTTATAGCATTTCACTTCTACAACAATCTGCCAAATGTCTTTAAAAAGAGACCAAATGCTCCAAAGCGTTCAATATTTACAACAATTTCAGGTGGAAATGTAATTTTCTATGACTGACAGTTAACAAGCTAAATACATAAAAAATACAATTTAAATGCCTCAAAACAGATTCACAAAAGATTTTAATGGTCCAAACTCATGAAGAAATGATGGAAAGAACTTCGAGGGTAAAAGGACTGATAGTGAGAGCAGAAAACACTAGAGGCACTTTAAATGATTCACTACAGTCATAATTCAGTCAGTGAGGAGCTTCACATCAGCACATCAGGGGCACTCGTCTGGAGAGAAAAGATGCTCACGTCAGGCCCGGATACACTCATATTTAGTTTATAAGAGTGATTTTAACAGTGTTTTACCATTTTTAGGCAGGATGGCGATGTTCTCAGGCAGAATGCCTTGCTCCAGAGAAAACTCAGTGAACTTGTCCAGGACGTCCTGGCTCAGGGCTGGGGTTCGGCCTTCACAAATATCACGAGAACAATTCAGAATCAGTGCATCAGTGCTGATGCTTTTCACAACGTTTTTTTACAGCACACATCACAGGCTGAGGAACATGAGATTTAAGCTCATAAGAAACGGCTTCATAATCCATTTAACCTTAATATTTCAGTGAAACGAGAAGAAATTTGGTGAGCTTCATTTTATCCATCAGGAACAATTGAGTGTTTATATTAAAACGTGTTGAGGTGGTTAAGAGAGATTCAGTCAGCTGAAAATGAAAGTAAGGTTCATTTGTGAACATTAAGATTAATAAGTTTTTTTAAATATTGTTAATTCATGCTAACTAATGTAGTTAAAGTTAATTGTATCTGGTAATATTATTTAATGGACCTGAGCTCCAATACAGCAAGAAAATATAATTATCCTGACCAAAATATGTTTTAAATACAAGCTAAATAAATACAAAAATTTAAAATATATTTAGTTTCAACCCTCATAGCAAAATAAAAAATGTATTTCAGGGGCAAGAAATATAATACTAATGCTAATACTACTACTACATATTTGCTAAAATAGGTTTCAAAATATATTTACATAAATATATATCTGGCCAATACATTTTTGCCATTTTTATATTTTTGAAAATATATTTTGCCCTCCATATATTTTCAATCCAATAAAATACTTGACATTTGAAGAGAATGTTTCTTTGTTGTCTATAACACACGTGTGAGCATATAACATTTGACATTTTTAAAAATATATAAAAAAACTATTAATTATTATTAATCTAGTTTTGATCTCGCATTTAACATAATTGCTTACAGCATATATTTAAAATATATTTTGTCCAGATTTATTTATTTTTTGCCATATGGGTAATGGGGAAGTCTATTCCTCACAGCCTCATTTTCATCAGCGTTAATTCAATATCTAATCTGACTGAAGTCTATAGTTGTCTTTAGTTTTTATGTGAAGAGGCCTAGATTCAAATCCTGCTAAAAATGAAAATGCTCAATTTTAAAGAGTTAGTTACCGTAGAGTTTGTTGAGAAGCGTGGTGGAGTCGGCTTTGGTCTTGATGGTGTGGATCAAAGCATATTCATCATACTTCACATCAACAACACGCATGTCATTGTCAGTCTCCCAGCCTGAGGAAACACATCATTTCCCGTCTGAATCCTGAATAAATCGTGTTTCATGTCTAGATGAACACTATCTTCCTTACGTTCACTGCGGAAGCTGAATTTCCCTGGAATATCCGTCTTTTGAGCCAGATGGGTCATTCTCCAGCATGTGCCATCAGGACTGGAAAAACAGGATGGATTAAGGGTTAAAATCATACGACATGAGAAGATTTTATTAATAGTTTCTTCTCTTTTTTTTGGTGATCAGTTTGTCTTACTTGAGACTGGAATATGCCATCTCCAGATCTTCATCAGTCGGCGTCAGCATGGCGATGCCCATCTTCATGTTCGCCTTGCGGGCGACAAACCACTCGGCATTGGTGGCAAAACCAATCAGGTACCATTTCCCAGCCACCTGTGAGAAGGACACACGTCAACACTGCGTAGCTGCAGGTCACTAAACACCCAAAATATACACTTTCTGTTAAAGCTGAAAATCTAGTTTACAAAAAATATAGTTCAAAGTTCTAAATTATTCATTTAATGTTTGATGCATGTTTTGTAATATAAAAAGTCATGCAAAAAAGATTTATTTATTATGTATTTATTTATGCTTGAAATAAATGGGCAGCTGCAATGACACTAAAGCACCCAAAATATACACGCTGAAAAATACAAACATTTTAACTACTCCAACAGACACAGAAATTATAGTAATTTTTAAGCTATTCAGAATTGTAAGCATTTCTAAATTATAAATTGAATGTTGATACAAGTTTTTGTGCAACAAAAACAAAAATAAATAAATAAATTAAATATGAATAAGTAGCTGGCCTGACACTAAAGCACCTAAAATATAAATTTTCTGTTGAACCTAAAATCTAGAAGTAAAAAAAATACATTTATTTTAACTACCCAAATAGATACAAAAAAAGTTTAAATTTTTTGATCATTTCTGAATTATACATTTAATGTTTGATACAAGTTCTGAAATATAAAAACGCATACAAAAATGTTATTAAAAATTATTTACTTATGAAATATATATATATATATATATATATATATATATATGCATACACATATATAGTAACAAATAATAAAAAATAGTAACAAATAAAAAAATAAAAGAAGTAAACAAAAACAACAACAAAAAAACTCTCATTGATTTCTCTTAAATTTAATTGTAACCTATATTTGAATATATAGGTCTTGCAGTCTTACCCCCTTGAGGTCGAAGTCGGCCTGCGGCGTGACCTCAGAACTGACGGCAAGGGCACAGAGCAAAACTCCCAGCAATCCCAGCAGGGCGGTTGCCATGGCTACTGCAGAGCTCGGTCTGGAGTGTGTGGGAATCAGGGCCTCGAGAGCTGAATTCTGAGCGCAGAGTCCCGCTGCAGGAGCTTATATAGAGCAGAAGCCCGTTACATAAACACACGCCCCCTACACACACACACACACACACACACACACACATCTACAGGAGCACATACCAACAGTTCATTACAATCACTCAAACTAACACAGTTTTGTCTCCAAGTTACATCTACTGTGTGTAAACCTACACACACACACCACACACAAAGCTCCAATACAATTGTCCGTCTGTGCCGGATGCTCAGCACTCACATCTAAATCTTAATGTCATCCATTCAGGTCTCACTTTTCATTGCACGCACACACACACACACACACACACACACACACACACAGGGGCATAAATAATGTGAGGTTTTAGGGCCCCTCTCATTTAACAGCTTTGTTAAACAACAGTTGGCTCAGAGGTTTGTGAGGGGGTGTGTTTCCTTCT